GCTGAACAGCAACCACCACCAGCAAGACAGCCTCATGCTCAAGCTTCAGAGCTGTCACACAGAAGCTATCTTCCCAAACCAGCAGTGCCATGGAACAGCCCTTCAGATGCCCCAGCACCCCAACAGGCAGACCTCTTTTCCTCATCTCTCTGCATGCTCTCCACAGCCCCCACAGGCTAAGCCCAGTGAAGGTCCACCAAGAACTGAATGAAGATCAAGGAAAAATACATCTGTTATGCCATCCCCTCCAGGAAACAGGCACTCAACTAATTCATAAATGAGACCCTCCAGAAAGAAGAGTGCAGAGGCAAGGGAGTGAAGAGTGCTCTGCATTGGTGCCATTCCACTGTTCCCTGGTTACAACGATGTCTCTCCCATGCTTCATTAGGTGGCCCAGGCAGGGATAACTGAGAATTATAAAACGGTAACTATCGGTCGCTGCTTCATCCATGCACAGCCTGCCCTCTATGGTACCACTGGACCATCAGTGTAAAACAGTCGAGCAGGCTCCTGCTGCTGCCCTCACCACCTCCCAATATACACAGGACAGCAGCATGCGTCAGTACCAACCTCCACTGCTAACAAAGTCCACCATTCTAGAAGGAACCTTCTGGAAAAGGGCAAAACAGGTCAAATGGATAAGTACACTAGTGCCAGAAAATCAACACACAGGAATTCAGGCACTAAAAGTGTGCTTGGCTCTGAGCTGTATACTGAAACCCTCAGGTCTCTCAGCTTATATGTTGCATTCAGGGTCATTTCCTACGCTCAGGCTCCACCATATGATGGAAGTATGTATGGTCACATGGACATCTCACAGACCATAAGCCACACTATTCAACTTGAGTAGCCAGGAACATTGCAAGTTACCATAGGTGACAAAATTTTCTCTGATATAAAAACTAAACAACTCTCAGACAGCTAGTAAATTAATAATAGGCTTGCCAGACATTAAGCAAGAAGATTCAGTCCTGAAACTTTTGCCTCTAAAAATTTAAAGGGACATGAAAGAAAAAACAGAATATTTTTTATGTTAAAGAGTCCCCCAGTGGGGGTTGCCCTATTATTTTTCTGTATGACAACAGTGAAGTTGCCTTCATACATAGCTTGCACAGAGGATTTAGTGGGATAGATCCTCATTTTTACAAGAGACCCGAATTTTGCAGCCAGCACTAGCAGCCCTGGGGCTGATGGAATAAGCTATGCAGATGGAAACAATTATTTAGGAAGGGAAGGACTCCTACATGTATGGAGCAACATCTCACTAAAACTGAAGCCTCCCACCGACACATTCCAGACTCCTGGAGTAATCTACTTTGGGGAATATGCTTTAAGCTACATCAGCTTTTGTATTTCTTTCTCCAGACTTCTTTGCAATCACAAAACATGCTTCCCTGCAAACTGACCTAACGGTCTTACCAAATGGCAACAAACAACAGAAAGTATCATAGATACCTGAATCTAAAACCTATTTAGAGACTTTTCAGGCAACAAATCCTGATTTCAGACAAGCTTTTCACTATGCAACACACCTGGAAGGACTTACCCATACGATTAACAACGTTGCAGTGAATCACTTCTACCTCAAATCCATGGCATAAAATAATGAATAAATCATACAGGCCATATTTGATATGCAGAATATCAAATCGAAGTGCCTTATATAACTCAAAACCATGTTTCTTAGAAAGGAACAGCATTATAGAAAGGAAGAGCACTAATTGATTAGAAATATCTAATTAAGGATAGTCCTTTCAAGCCAGCTGCATAAAGAATATTTCATATAATATGTTGCAGAAGAAAAATAACTCCATCAGGTTTCAATTAAGACTCACTACCATATGGATTTTCCATCTGCAGCAGGAAGGCTCAAACACCATGTCACAACTAAGACATTTTTATGTCTCCAACTGAAAGCACTTAAACTGCTTGGAATAGACACATATGGGCCATAACATCCCCAATTAAGCAAACATTTTGCTGAACTGAGAGCCTAAAAGACATATGAAGCGAGAACATCGTGCTTGCTTGGTCATGCATTGTAGCCTCTAACTTTTAAAGGATAAAAGATGCTAAGAGTGTATAGCATGTACTCTTGTAACCTTCAGTGCCCTCCTCATCCAGCCAAGGCAGAAGACCCCAGCACAAGTCTCACAGTGGCTTTTATCGAGGCACTAAGGAGGTGGGGGGTCCTTTGCTCCCAACAGACAGAGGGGCTCTGCTCTCTGGAGCAGTTTACACACACTATCACAAGGCACATGTGGAGGGCTCCTCAGATCACCACCTCACCCAACCTCCTCCTTAAAAGCTGGGTCAAAACAGAAGTCAGAGGAGGGTGCTGAGGCTGTTGGCCAGCTGGGTCTTGTAAAGGGCTGAGGTGCCACAACCTCTGTGGGCCCTCCTTTCAACACTCCCCTGTACTCAGGGGATATTGATATCCTTAGGGGATATTTTCTCCTAAGGTAAGCTGAACCCCCACCCATTGCAATTTATAAAGTTTTGACAAGTTGACATGATTCTCCATCCAACTAATCAAAGATGCTATGAACTGGAAAACAACATTTGCAGGTTATCCCTTCCAGCATCAAAAACACCATCTCAAAACCCATGTCTTGATCAAACCAAGAGCTGTGCTGCTGCCATTGCAACCTCTTGGGGCACAAGGGACCATAAGCCAAATCTTCAGAATTATTTTTCTACATGCAGCTGGACCCAAGAACCCCGATTCCTCTTTACTAAAAACAGATGTCAGCCAAGATAATCATCCCATGACTCCTCCAGGAGAAGGATGTAAACAGCCACAGCTCACCCAGCTGTCACCAAGAGAGGCCCCACTGACAACTCAGAGATCCCAACATGCTGCAAGACCTTACCCCAACATGCTTTGACATACTATGTTCAGACATGTTTATCGCTTAAATCCAACAAAACATGTTAGGTCACTTGAGTTTACACTAGATTAGAGTTTGGGTCTTTTACCAACTTCTAGAGTTTTGAGCTCAGAGAAGAAAGAAACCAATACCTACATTTCTCAATGTACAATGCTTCTCAAAGTTTAACAAACCCCATCCCATAACATGCTTGCAAAGTAAATGCTTTACAAATAAGAGTGAAAAAAAGATTAAGTGATGTGCAAAAGGTTATAAAAAAATTACAGTACAGTTTGGTATATAGAAATGCAGGCTTCTGCCTCCCAGGAGGCTTAACCTCAGTCAAAAGAAACTACCAGAGAGAAACTACCACTAAAAAGCTGTGCTCAAAGTGTTCAATCCAGGTTTTGGTATCAAATTTTTGCAACTAAGAAAACTACATACTTGCTACAATATCAAAGCATCATGGGATGGAGGTGCATATGAGAAACAATGCTTTGCCCCAGGGGAACAAGAGACCTTAACAGGTGAATTAAATCCAAAACTACAGAAGAACCTTAATGTAAAAAAAAAAAATAAATCTATTTGCAGTCACTGCAAACAATCACACTGGAAGGAGTTCTACTACAATATCCAAGTCTGCAAACTATAATGCTCCTGCTGACGACCAGAAAACAGCTTTTGCACACAGCAGCAAAGGGGAAATTAAAGCACAAATTCACTGATGCTGTGCAAGCGCTTGCAGACTACAAGGCAGTTGAGAGGTCATGGTACTTTCACACTGTGAACTCCAAATGCTCAGCAGACAGGCACAGGAGCAGGCGTTACAGCTAGATTCAGCAAGGTGGACCACAACATGAAGTCTACGGGGTTCAAACTGAGTGCCCAGATCTGCAGGTCTGGGCCCATTCTCCAGGACAGGTCCACACATCACCAACCTCCTGCAAGAAGCACGGACCCACAGCTGAGCCCATTCCATACTACTCTTAGCAAAATCCACACACAAAAGTCTTATTCTTGACAAATATTTAGTCGTGTATTATTTCTCATAGCTCAGAGACAGGAAACCCAGGTATAAACCACTACGGCCATCAGCATAGCTGCGGCACTGGGGAACTCTGCAGGAAGAATCCTCAAAGTGGGTTTCCAAGCAGGATTTGCATGCTGGCACCAGCCTCCCCGCTATTACAGTCCACAGCCAGCCTGGCCAAGCTAAAGCTATTCCGAGCATATTTACACAGACTAAAAAACCACCCAACACCAGGCTTTAAAACATCCCCATGCAATATAACAAGCAGCAATATTCTACTAGACCTTTAGATACTTTACCTACTCACCCCACTTCATCTACTTCTTTGCAGTGATGATCTCAGTAAAACGTTTCTAACTTGAATTACGGCGTTTTGGCAACTGCCTCAAGACACTACGGTTTTTTATTGAACTGAGATTAACAGAGAGTCCAACATAATCAAGTAGCCTAAATAAGCGAGGTCCCACAGAGACAGGAGGCACCACCAGCGATTCAGCTGCAAGGTTTAGGTTCTTCTTGCCAACATGTTTTTAAGTGCGCACAGACTAGGTGGAAAAGGAGAATAACCTTGAGACTACCAGAAAACGTTCTTCTCCTTGGCTCAGGGAAGACAGCTTTGAGGTGTCAGTAGAGGGGCCGCAGCTGAAACAATAACCCCACTCCCCAACGAGCAGAAGCCAAATTCTGCAGAAAAAGGAGCAATTTCGCAGCGAATCCCGTTACAGCACCTCAGGCGACAGAAACCCCCAGCCCTGGGGCGCAGCAGCATCAGCCTACCTGCCCGGGTCCGCGCTGCACACCCCGGCGGGGAGGCGCGGAGC